GAATGCGCGTTCGCGCCGTGTGTTCGGGGCATCGCGTGAAAACGAGGGCTACGGAGACAACGGACGCCATTGCTGAACACGGCGGAATCCGTGTTTAGCCTCTCAGGCACGCGCACCAGACGAGAGCGACCGCTCCTCGCAGCGCCGCGCGCAAGTCGGGCTCGTGGCGCAGCTCGCACGGCACCAGCTCCAGCCGGTCCAGCCCGTACCCACTCTGCACCGTCTCGTCAAACTGCGACTGCGTCTCGAACGAGAAGCCGCCGCCGTCCTCCTCGGGCGCAAGGGCCCACGCCGGCCGGAGTGCGTAGCGGGCGTCCTCCGCGCCGACCTCGTACGACAGCCGCGCGTAATCCTCCACGCGGTCGGCCGAGCGGACCAGGGCGCGGACTGTCACCTTTTCTTGCGTGCGGAGGAGCTGGCGGCACACCATCGAACCGACCCGGCCGTTGGCGCCCGCGACGACGACGGTGCACGGACGCAGCGGAGGCGTCGGCCGCATGACGGGAGTGGCCACGGAGAACAACGCGAGGGCGGGGAGGGCTGGCATATGCGTATACGTGCGGACCCGGGTGCGGCGTCGAGGCGCGCTGCTCGCTGTGGGGGGCAGGCTGGCAAAAGAATTTTACAACAAAACTCCCTCGCACAACAGAGAGAGAGAGAGAGAGAGAGAGAGAGGAGGACGACGAGCTTATGCTGGAGTACATGGGGAACGAGGGCGTGGGCAGCGAGCAGATCGACAAGTTCATGGGGTGGACGACAGTGGATATGGGAGACGAGAGGTTGAGAAGTGCGAGGCCGACAAGCAAAGAGGGTCGATGGAAGAGAGGAGCAGCGGAGCGTGGGAATGTTGGAGCAGGGAAGCAGGCAAAGGCGAGGGAACTACGTCACAAGTACACTAGGGAGAGGGATCAGGCGAAACAGTCAGGTGGAGGTGGAGGGTCAGATTCGGATTGATGGGGAGGATGGTTCTGGTGAAGTACGAGGTCAGGGGGGGGAGGGGGTTCGATCTGGCGACGGAGGACTGTGGGCCATCGCGGGGACGGCCCGCCGGAGGCGGGCTCGATTGATCCGGATGGTCACACCCGGTGGGAGGCACCGAGGCGTCGCGGGGACGCTCTTCTGTTCAGTCGACGCTCGTCGTCCACTGAGAACTCAGTGGTTGTCACCACTTTGTATTCTTTATATTAACCTTGCGAACTCGTCCCCCCCGGCAGGGCTATGCAACTGTGACCAGTGTGTGCTGTCTACGCCTGAACCAGGTGTCAAATCTGCCGATGCGTGACCTGCGTGGGCTGCTCTGTGAGGGGTCCAGGCATTGTCCGACGGGTAGGGGGTCTGTGCCCGGGCGGTGTCCGGTGCGGAGTCTCTCTCTGATCCCGCCTGTGGTGTTGGGTGCGAGGTCGTGGAAGCTTCGATCCCAAGGGGGGGAGCTGATCCCACTCGGTAACCAACTCTCAGGGGCAGTAGGTGGGCGGGCTTCAAGCGCGCTCATCTCGATCGTCAAGGCGTCGCTACGCGCGGTCTTCCGCGGGGGGAGCTTCGTCGACGGGTGCGGGAGCGCAGCGCAGACAGTGCTGCGGCGATGCCTCCGGCTGTTTGCGGCGGGCGGCTTGCTGCTCGCGGCGATGGCGAAAAACTCGTCTCGTGGCACACCAAGGGCTTATGCTCTGTCGAGACGTGAGGCGTATGCGCCCAGGAGGGGAGGGCGCATGCGTAACGACGCTGCTAGAGATGCCTTTCGGGGCCCAGAGATAAAACTTCTGATGCCATGCGTGACCTAGTAGTGTCCCCAGCTATGGGCGTGTCCACGTTGGAGCCAGGTGTGGTGTGGACGCGAGAATAGCTCCGCCGTTCATGGAGGCAACCGATGCGAGTCGACTGGTGTGTGTCGTCGTGGTTTCGTATCAAGAATTCTCTCTCTCTCGCACAACACTGGGCACAAGAATTTTCCAACCACTGCCTCGCACAACACTGGGCACGGGACTGGCGCGCACTGGCACTAACACAGGTACACCACTGGAGCCGCCTAAGCGACTCCCGCGAGGACGGCGAGGCACTTAGCTCCGTGCACTCGACCGCCCTCGCCGCAGGCAAGCACATTCACAATCTGGTCTGCGATGGCCGTGAAGAACGACTGAGATGCGCTGCTTCTGCAGCCCCAGCCAGCTCTTGGTGGTCCAAGTCACCTCATCGAGGTACTGGGCCCGCGTCAGCTTGTTCTGCAGCACGTCCGCCGCCTTCCAGAGGATCTCACGGACCCACCTCCCGAACCCACCGAACGTCGTTGCCGAGATAGAGCGTCTCGAGCCGCGGCGCTGCCCCCTCCTTGCCGAGGGCGGCGGCCAGCGCCTTGCAGCCCTCGTCGCTAATCTGGTTGTGGCTGAGCCAGAGCTCCTCGAGCCGCGCCCCAGCCCCCTCCTTGCCGAGGGCGGCGGCCAGCGCCTTGTTTCCCTCGTCGCCAATCTTGTTGCAGGTGAGACCGAGCTTCTTGAGCCGCGGCGCTGCCCTCTCCTTGCCGAGGGCGTCGGCCAGAGCCTTGCAGCCCTCGTCGCCAATCTGGTTGCGGCTGAGCCAGAGCTCCTCGAGCCGCGCCCCAGCCCCCTCCTTGCCGAGGGCGGCGGCCAGCGCCTTGCAGCCCTCGTCGCCAATCTTGTTGCAGGTGAGACCGAGCGTCTCGAGCCGCGGCACTGCCCCCTCCTTGCCGAGGGTGGCGGCCAGCGCCTTGCAGCCCTCGTCGCCAATCTTGTTGCCGTCGAGATAGAGATACTCGAGCCGCGGCGCTGCCCCCTCCTTGCCGAGGGCGGCGGCCAGCGCCTTGCAGCCCTCGTCGCCCATCTGGTTGCCGTTGAGATAGAGATACTCGAGCCGCGGCGCTGCCCCCTCCTTGCCGAGGGCGGCGGCCAGCGCCTTGCAGCCCTCGTCGCCAATCTTGTTGCCGTCGAGATAGAGATACTCGAGCCGCGGCGCTGCCCCCTCCTTGCCGAGGGCGGCGGCCAGCGCCTTGCAGCCCTCGTCGCCAATCTCGTTGCTGCGGAGATAGAGCTTCTCGAGCCGCGGCGCTGCCCCTCTCGCGAGGACCCCCGCCAGCTGCGCCGTCTCCGCGTCGCCCCAGCCATGAAAGCCGTAGTCCAGCTGAGTCTGCTTGCCAAACTGCTTATCGAAGATGACCGCGTAAAGCCGCTTCACGAGCGGCTTGTCGTCCTTGCCGTTGGTGAAGCTCTTCGTCTCCAGCTCCGCCGCAAACGCAGACGGCAGCAGCGGAGGGCGCCGGCAGCGGAGATTGGTGCAGTCGGAGAAGAGGCTGTGGTAGTCGTACGCCTTGCCGTCGCGCATCAAGCCGAGGTCGAGGGAAAGGTGTAAGGACTTGGTCAGGCTCGCCCAGGCGTTCTCGGCGGCGCACCAGCCACAGTCAGAATACGCGGCCACGTTGGTGCCCTCGGCCTGGTCCTCCTTCTTGTGGCCGTCCGGGAAGGAAGTCAGCCGAAGCACGATCGTTTTGGGGTGGGAGTAGAGCTTGCCGAGGCAGCCCACCCCCTGCTTGAAGAGCACGTTCTGCTCCTCGGTGCGCATAATGCCGTTGGCGGGGTCGGGGTGCTGGTGCAGCGAAGCGAAGTCCCAAAAGACGCCGAGCCGCGGGATGCTGCCGTATTGGTCGCTGAGCAGGGCCTTGAGCGCCTTTGCGACGTGAATGAGGTTGAATCCGAGCGGGTCGGGGTGATCCTTGGTCCTGGGGTAGGAGAGCGCGGCGACGGGAAGGCTAGCCCTGCAAGAGTTATCATTGCCGGTGGTCGCCTCGACGAGGTCTGCGAGGGAGAGGAAGGCCTCTTTGGGCAGCGCCTGGCGGTGGGTGAGGACTCCGCCCGCCTCGGCGTGGCTGATGATCCACTGCGCGTCGAGGAGGGCGATCGCGCCGCTCGCGAGGACCGGCTCCAGGTCGCCTCCGCCACGCCCGCGCCATTTCGCCAGCTTCCTCTCGTCGATTAGGCAAAACCTCGACTTCTCCGAACACGCGCGCATGGACAGCATTGCGACAGGTTCACCGCGGAAGGAGCCAAACGTGAGCGGAGGGCGTGTCACGAACGAGGGACGCGCGCAACTTTTAGGTTTTACCGATAGTCGGGTTGCTTCCTTGAGTGGTCGGTGCTCTTATATTGAGGGGTTTCGCCGTACGTGGGGAGGCCGAATCCCCATAAGACCCTTCGAGGCCGGTCGCGTCCAGTATTATTGTGAAGGGCAACTTTGCGATTTCGGGCCCGGGGTTGTGCGTTTACGTGAAGGGCAACTAGAGTAGGTTTTTTAGCTTACTGAGACTGTCACGGTCAGTTACGGCTTTACCGCGAAAAAAATACCGTCCACACTACGGCTCTACAGTGAGCTATTAGTGTTACGAATCAGACGCTCTAGACCCAATCCGGTATCCGCCTAGGATAGAGCCGTAGGGCGTCTGTGAACAGCTGTCAGGAGAGTAGTTGCTTACTTCGTACCTTTCTCGGGAGCTCCCACACCCACTCAGGGACGTCCCCGCGCATCACTTGGGACCATCTCCGGGGCCAAACTCCTCTGGGCGCCGCTTTGGGGCGAACTTGCCCTGCTCCTTGTAGTTGTCGTAGATCTCGAGCGCGTTGAGGATGGCCTGGTCCATGTTGAAGTACTTGTACGAGGCGAGCCGGCCGACGAAGCAGACGTGGTCCTCCGCCTCGGCCAGCGCGCGGTAGCGCTCGTACAGCGCGCGGTTCTCCGGGTTGGGCACCGGGTAGTACGGGTCGCCCTCGGCGGACGAGTACTCCCTCGCAATGAGCGTCCCCTTGACCTCCCCGTTCTTGACCGCCTCGGGCTGGTTGGGCACGTGCTTGTACCTGGGTGGGGTTCGGGTACCGTGGGGTAGGGGAGGCACCCGGAGGGCGGTGGGGCGGGCGGGCGGGCGGGCGGGAGGTACTCGACGATGCGCGTGTACGGCACGTCAGCAGACGGGTAGTTGACCACCATCGCCTCCTGGAAGTAGCCCTCCTCGGGCTCGGGCACCCAGACCTCCTCGAAGCGGATCGAGCGGTACTCGAGCTTGGGCATGCCCTAAGGCCAAGCCAGGCAGACTTCTCCACCCACACACACGAGGTGGTGGGGCAAGGGCCGGGCTCGTCCCTCGCGACTCCACGTCTAGACAGGCAGGAGCCCCACGGCATTCAAAGTGCAAGGCCCGGTGCGCGTGGGTGAGCGGTGTGTGTGTGCGTGTGTGTGTGTGTGTGTGTGTGTGTGTGTGTGTGTGTGTGTGTGTGTGTGTGTGTGTGTGTGTGTGTGTGTGTGTGTGTGTGTGTGTGTGGTGTGTGTGTGTGTGTGTGTGTGTGTGTGTGTGTGTGTGTGTGTGTTGTGTGTGTGTTGTGTGTGAGTGTGTGAGTGTGAGTGAGTGTGAGTGAGTGGGTGAGCGACCTGCTGCGCGAAGTATGCGTCGATCGGGCCCGTGTACACAAGCATGCCTAACTGAGGAACTTGGGTCAGTGAGCGGGTGTGTGTGGGCGTCGATCGGACCCGTGTCCACGAGCATGCCATAGTCGGGCAGCGTGCCCGCCGCCCTCTCCTTGAAGTAGTCGACGCCCAGCCGCAGCGTGATGTTTGGGTCGTGGAGCAGCATGTTTTCGAAGATGCGCGTGTAGCCGTGCAGAGGCAGCGCCTGCCACTGGTCGCCAAAGTAGCGGTCGTCGGTGGTCGTGCGGCACGGCAGCCGCATCAGCACCGACGCGTCGAGCTCGGCCGGGTACTTGTCCCACTGCTTCTTGGTGTAGTGCTTGAAGATCCGCTCGTACAGCCGCGGCCCCACACGCGAGAGTGCCGCCTCCTCCCCGTTGGCCGCCTACGTGCTGAATACCCGCATGAATGCAACGACTAGGAAGACAGTGAATAGCGGACTACAACGGAATGCAGTGGAATCCGTCTCTCGAGCGCTGGTGGGGGTACATGAATACGTATTCAGCGTCTAGGGTTGGCCGCCTCGGCGCCGGGCGGCGTAACGCGCTCAGCGTCGTACCACGCCTGCATCTCCTCCTCGGACGCGACTGTCTCGCCGAAGAGCGTGTTGACCGTCTCCTGCGTCGGCGGGATGGGCACCAGCCGCTTGACGCCGTCCTTGTCCGGCACCTGCCCCTTGACGCGGTGGTCAAACGGGATCCACCTTGAGAACTGCTGCACGTACTCCCACACGCGCTCGAACTTGGTGTGGAACAAGTGGGCGCCGTACTTGGACGTGCGGATCCCGTGCTCGTCCACATAGTCGTAGCAGTTGCCTCCGATGTGGTCACGCACGTCAATCACCAGCGAGGTCAAGCCCTGCTCTTTCGAGGCGCGCTCGGCGATGACTGCTCCCGAGAGGCCGGCCCCCACGATCAGCAGGTCCACCTTCTTTGGCGCCGTCTCGAGGTTCCCAGACTTGACGTCTGTCGGGAGGTCGAGCGGCGCCTCCGACTTCTCTCCCTTTTCCTGCGACCGCACGGCAGCCGCGCGTGGAGTGAGGCGTCCAGGCCGGCCCGCGGCGCCGCAGCGTCTGCCAGAGGCTCACCTCGATCGAGTCGATGCCGACCGTCTCCTTGACCAGGTTGAGCGACGCCCACTCCGGCTCGGCGCGGCCACAGCCGACGGATGAGGCGAACGGGCCTGCGAGAGCAGTGCGGGCGCGGCGTGAGTTCTGGCGGGCGGAGAGCGAGGAGGCGAAGGACACCTTTCGGCATGGGCAGCAGGACTTGCGGTGGTGCCACGGCCGCGGGCCCCCTTTTTTTCAGGGACCTCAATGGGGGACTTTGGTTTCACAGCCAAGCACCAGCACCAGCAGCAGCAGCAGCAGAGAGGCGCCAATTTTGAGGTTGCCCGAGATAGCCTGGAGATGGCCCCGCGTTGTAGCCCTAGTAGCCCCGGTGCCGGCGCCTCACATCTCAGCATCCAGGGGCCGGTTCCGCCGCGCAGTCGAGCAGCAGGAGCTCGGGCACAGCTTTGTCGACAAACAGGTTGAGCAAAATTTTGGCGAAGAAGCGCCACCGGCGGCACGCCGGGATGAACCCGCACCGATCACATTGTGCCGAACCGCGGCGGCGAGCCGCCGCGGGCCCACAGGAGGGCTCGGAGCCGCGGCACCGGTCCGCGCCGCCAGCGGGGCGAGAGCACCAGCCTACAACCTGCCGACATGGCAGTTGCGATGGCGCTTTCACACACACACACACACACACATGGGCCGGATCACGTTGGACCCACACCCTCGGCAAAAAGGCTGATTTTGTTATTTGTTTCCTGGCGCCACACAGTACGCCGACTCTCCGCGCCGACTCTCCGCGCTGGCGAGCCAGGCGAAACCGGCGCCTCGACGGGCGCGCGCATGTTCTCGCTGCTCGTCGGCTTTTGGCAGCTGCTCTTCCGTCGCGCTGAATTCCACGTGCTGATCCTCGGCGTCGACGCGGCAGGCAAGACCACCGTCCTCGAGCAAATCAAGGTGCGCCCGTGAGTCCCGGCGGGCATCGGGGACGCCGCCTCATGCGCCCCCTCCACTCACGTCCAGGCCACCTTTCTCGGTCGCGAGCCGATGCCGCCGGCGAAGATTGCGCCGACGGTCGGGCTCAACATTGGACGGCTGCAGGTGTGCACCCGCCGCGCGTGGGCACGCCGCTGGTGGTGGGCTCACGCCGCCCCCATGCTCAGGTGCGGCGGTGCAAGCTCATCTGCTGGGACCTCGGCGGCCAGGCAGCGCTGCGCGCCATCTGGGAAAAGTATTACTCCGAGGCGCACGGACTGATCTACGTCGTCGACGCCGCCGACACGGAGCGGATAGACGAGTCGCGAAACGTGCGCGCGCCGCCCGCCGCGTCGCCCGCGCCGCCGCCCGCGAGCCGCCGCTGTCGCCCGGCTCAGCCGCCGCTGTCGCCCGGCGGAGCAGGTGCTCCACGCGCTGCTCGGCCACCCCGACCTCGCGGGCATTCCGCTGCTGCTGCTCGCAAACAAGCAGGACGCGCAAGGCGCGCTCTCGCCGCACGAGGTGGAGGCGCGGTTCGGGCTGCAGCAGGTGCTTGAGACGAGCCAGCCGCGCCAGGTCTTTGGCACCGCCGCTCTCACCGGCGAGCGCATCGAGGAGAGCATCCACTGGCTCGTGGAGGCGAGATTGAGCGAGATTGAGCGAGATTGAGCGAGATTGAGCGAGATTGAGCATCTGGCTCGTGGAGGCGAGTAACAGCCGAGAGGTAGCCGAGAGGTAGCCGAGAGGTAGCCGAGAGGTAGCCGAGAGGCAGCCGAGAGGGAGGCAGCCGAGAGGTAGCCGAGAGGTAGCCGAGAGGTAGCCGAGAGGCAGCCGAGAGGTAGCCGAGAGGTAGCCGAGAGGTAGCCGAGAGGTAGCCGAGAGGTAGCCGAGAGGTAGCCGAGAGGTAGCCGAGAGGTAGCCGAGAGGTAGCCGAGAGGTAGCCGAGAGGTAGCCGAGAGGTAGCCGAGAGGGAGCCGAGAGGGAGCCGAGAGGGAGCCGAGAGAGGGAGCCGAGAGGGAGCCGAGAGGGAGCCGAGAGACAGCCGAGAGACAGCCGAGAGACAGCCGAGAGACAGCCGAGAGATAACCGAGAGACAACCGAGAGAGCGAGGCCTGGCGCGCTCTCCTCACTGCGCACTCTCCTCACCGCTACCCTCTCTCCTACCGCCGCCACCCTCCTACTGCTGTTGCTGCTCTTTCAGGCGCTGAGGGACTCACCAAGGATTGGGTAGCGGCGCGACGGCATGCCGGCCGGCATGCATTTGCGCCTGTGCGCGCAGCCGTGGGCGGGATCGTAGCCGCTGCGGAGGGGGCCGCGGGCAACGATCTCGGCGACGCCGCGCGTCTCCTTCTACCTTCAACGTGCCGGGAGGAAGGGAGATGTCCTCACCGGCACCGGAACCGGACCGGTCTCTCTCTGGCTCCATTGGCGTGTGCAGGGTGACCCCATGTACTGGACACCCCGCTCTCTCCCCCTTGTGATGTGACTTGCTTGTGCTCTTTGAAAAAAAAACGAGCCCACACGTGTCACAACGAGTCACGACGGCGTTTTATACGCGTTTTTCATGCCATTAATCATGGCCCCGGCCCCGTGGGTGCCTTATTTTGTTTTCGTTTCAACACAAACCTCAAGCCGCGTCAATCGTCATCCCAACTTACTACAAGTTGGCGGAGGGCCCGCTGCCGATGTCGTGAGACAAGCACAACCTCTTGCTCCGCACGCACACCGTGTAGCGCTAGGTGGTCTGGACAGCACACTCTCTCCAGGCAAGGCTGGGACTGCATCACACTCCACGGTTTGGGGCTAGCACGCAGCCACACATGGCAAGACGGCCGACGGACTGCGACCGACACCCGCCGGCCCCCGGATCGGTAAAAACTAATGGCACTATGGCAGCCTAGGGCAGCAGTGCGCCCGCGTCTAGGGCGGCGACTGGAAGGGGTGGCAGGCGCCACACTCTTCCGGAAATTCCTCTGCGACCTTTTCGCACGCCTCCACCTCGATCCGGTCGGTGTTGCTCTCCAGCCAGTTGATGCGAGACTCGCACGATGAGAAGCCCTTGTAGTTGGCGGTCAGATCTTGGGCGAGCGTTGCGAGGACGGCGTCGGTACAGCTGTCCACGCCACACCGAGCAGCCAGGACGTAGGGCGGCGGCGGAGGCGGCGGCGGCGGTGGTGATGGTGGCGGCGGCGGCGACGGCGACGGCGAGGTTTGCGGCGGAGGCGGCGACTGGAAGGGGTGGCAGGCGCCACACTCTTCCGGAAATTCCTCTGCGACCTTTTCGCACGCCTCCACCTCGATCCGGTCGGTGTTGCTCTCCAGCCAGTTGATGCGAGACTCGCACGATGAGAAGCCCTTGTAGTTGGCGGTCAGATCTTGGGCGAGCGTTGCGAGGACGGCGTCGGTACAGCTGTCCACGCCACACCGAGCAGCCAGGACGTAGGGCGGCGGCGGAGGCGGCGGTACTGGTGGCGATGATGGTGGCGGACGCGGGGGGAATAAGACCATTGCCAGCGGCGGCGGTGGTGATGGTGGCGGCGGCTCAAAGTCTGGCGGTGCGGAAGGCGGTTCGGCTGGAAGGTCGCCGGGACCGTAGTCTGGCGGAGCGGAAGGTGGCGAGCTCGGCGGTTCGGCTGGAAAGTCGGTGATCGACGGCGGCGGGGGCGAGGCCGACGGCGGCGGTGGCGACGGCGAGGCCGACGGCGGCGGCGGCGACGGCGAAGCCGACGGCGGCGGTGATGACGGCGGCGGCTCAAAGTCTGGCGGTGCGGAAGGCGGTTCGGCTGGAAGGTCGCCGGGACCGTAGTCTGGTGGAGCGGAAGGTGGCGAGCTCGGCGGTTCGGCTGGAAAGTCGGTGATCGACGGCGGCGGGGGCGAGCCCGACGGTGGCGGCGGCGAGGGCGAAGCCGACGGCGGCGACGAGGGTGGCGGTGGCGGAGGGGGCAACGGGGGGGAGAGGGCCATGTACGCGAGGGAGTACTCGACCCACCCACCCGGGCCGCCCGAGAGGGTGAGTCTCTCCCTGCCCACGTCGCTCGCCGTGACGGTCATTGTCGCCGTTCCTTGCAGGTCGTGAGAGACAAACTGGATTTCCTCGTCCCACACCTTGAACGCGACCGTGGTTCCTATGACGAGGTTGCCCATCCAGCACGCGTTTCCCCAAGAGGGCTTCTTGTTGTTGTCCTTTGTGCTCGTCGTGTACACAGTCGACCCGCCGACCAGCACCTCGACGTAGGTGTCAACCTCGCCTTGGAACCAGCCGTCGTCGCCATTTCCCTTTGCCCGAAGGACGCAGACTTCAACCGAAGCCGACGGCGGCGGTGATGACGGCGGCGGCTCAAAGTCTGGCGGTGCGGAAGGCGGTTCGGCTGGAAGGTCGCCGGGACCGTAGTCTGGCGGAGCGGAAGGTGGCGAGCTCGGCGGTTCGGCTGGAAAGTCGGTGATCGACGGCGGCGGGGGCGAGGCCGACGGCGGCGGTGGCGACGGCGAGGCCGACGGCGGCGGCGGCGACGGCGAAGCCGACGGCGGCGGTGATGACGGCGGCGGCTCAAAGTCTGGCGGTGCGGAAGGCGGTTCGGCTGGAAGGTCGCCGGGACCGTAGTCTGGCGGAGCGGAAGGTGGCGAGCTCGGCGGTTCGGCTGGAAAGTCGGTGATCGACGGCGGCGGGGGCGAGCCCGACGGTGGCGGCGGCGAGGGCGAAGCCGACGGCGGCGACGAGGGTGGCGGTGGCGGAGGGGGCAACGGGGGGGAGAGGGCCATGTACGCGAGGGAGTACTCGACCCACCCACCCGGGCCGCCCGAGAGGGTGAGTCTCTCCCTGCCCACGTCGCTCGCCGTGACGGTCATTGTCGCCGTTCCTTGCAGGTCGTGAGAGACAAACTGGATTTCCTCGTCCCACACCTTGAACGCGACCGTGGTTCCTATGACGAGGTTGCCCATCCAGCACGCGTTTCCCCAAGAGGGCTTCTTGTTGTTGTCCTTTGTGCTCGTCGTGTACACAGTCGACCCGCCGACCAGCACCTCGACGTAGGTGTCAACCTCGCCTTGGAACCAGCCGTCGTCGCCGTTTCCCTTTGCCCGAAGGACGCAGACTTCAACCGAGGGCGGCGACGGCGGCGGCGACGTCGTCAGCGACGGCGGGATGAGAACCTCGTTGATCACGTGGATGATGCCGTTGCACGCCGTCACGTCCGCCGCCGTGACCTCCGCCTTGCCGTTGAGCGTCAGCACGTCATTCACCACGGAAAAGTCGATGCGCTCGCCCGAGACCGTGTCCGCGCCGTCGAGCGTCACCGCCTTCGCCGCGTCCACCGACCCGGACACCACGTGGTACAGCAGCACCTGGGTGAGCTGATCGGTGGTGAGCCCAGCGAGGGTGCCTTCGGGCAGCGCGGCGAAGGCGGCGTCCGTCGGTGCGAAGACGGTGAAGGGCCCAGTGCCCGCCAGCGTCGCATCGAGGCCGGTGGTGGTGAGCGCGCCCAGCAGCGTGGTGAACGTCCCCGCCGCCGTTGCCGTGTCGATGAGTGACGTGCACGGCGGCGGCGCGGGCGGGGCTGGCGGCGGTGGCGGCGAGGGCGAGGCCGACGGGGGTGGCGTCGGCGCCTTGCCCGGAGGGTGAGGAGGCGGGGGGGGGGCTTCGCCCGGCGGGAAGGGCGGCGGCGTCGGCGCCTTGCCCGGCGGGAAGGGCGGTGGCAACGCCGGTGGTGGCTCCGCCAAACGCACGCCGCAGTCCGCGCAGTCGCTTCCGAATGTACTGAGAGGGGGGGGGGGGGGGGGTGAACCCCAGGCGGGGCCCAAAAGGCCCGTGGGAAATGCCCCTCACCATACGCTGTACTCGTGTCCCGGCCCACCATCGTCGCATACTCCGTCGAAGGTCCAGGAGGGCATGCAGTCTTCGGCGGGCCCATTTGAGCAAAGGCCGACCGGACGCACGCCGCAGTCGCTACAGTCCGTGCCGTAGTCACACAGATATGTGTCGGTGTCTGGGCCGCTGTCGTCGCACTCGCCGTTGTTAGCGGTCAAGCACGTGTCTGCGCAGAGACCATCTGGGGCCGGCGGCGATGGCGGCGGCGGCGTCGGCGCCTTGCCCGGCGGGAAGGGCGGCGGCGTCGGCGCCTTGCCCGGCGGGAAGGGCGGCGGCGTCGGCGCCTTGCCCGGCGGGAAGGGCGGCGGCGTCGGCGCCTTGCCCGGCGGGAAGGGCGGCGGCGTCGGCGCCTTGCCCGGCGGGAAGGGCGGCGGCGTCGGCGTCTTGTCCGGCGGCTGCGGCGCCGAGTCCGGCGGGAAGGGCGGTGGATCGGGGGGCCCGGGCGACGGTGGGCACGGGTTGACGACGTCTGTGCACGCGACTGGGCATGCGCGCAAGAGGTCGGCGATCTGGCGTTCGGAGTTCCAGCCAGAGCCCCCGTTCCTACATTCCCGGCCCATCCAGTAGGCGCAGCCGCAGCCCACGCAGTCGCAGCCGCTGCTGCAGAGCACGTAGTCCGGGTCGTCCGAGCATGGGTCGGACGGCGGAGCTGGCGGCAGCGCCGGCGGGCTGGGGGGCGGCGCCGGCGACGCGGGCGGGAAGGGCGGCGGCAAAGGCCCCCCCGACGCGAGCAGGGCGAGCGATGCGGCGAGCATCTGGCCGCCGAAGAATCCTGGTGAATAACGGGCATAAACGACTTCGGCGCGTTTTCTTTTGGCGAGAAAAAGGAATTTCGGCAAGGATGCACCCCAGTTTCTTTTTCTTGGTGTACAAGTTGGTTGACGCCCACCCTGGGCCCCTGCACGCTGCAGCTGTGCGGCGTGCGGGAACGAAGAAAGGCCACGCGGCGGTTCACAGATGTATCTCTTCCCGCTGGTTCTCTGCGCGCGCTCAAAAACGTACTAGTCAAACATGCTCCACGCCGCATGCTCGCTTTCCAGCACGCCGCACGCGTACCACTCCCTCCACTTGCCGCTGCGGGGCGCCGTCGGCACTGCCGCGGCGGCGGGCGCTGCCACTCCACCTCCCACTCCTCGTCGCGCGCGATCGCCTCGTCTCGCCGCCTCTCCGCCTCGCCCACGGCGTCCATCAGCGCCTACGGGGCACGACCATCGCCGCACATGTCGCGAATGCGTCGCGGGCGGGCGCCGCGCTTGCGGCGCGTCGGCACCTTTGCGCGCTCGCGGAACTCCCGCTCCGGCAGAAACGCCGGCACGCCCCGCGGCGGGCGGCCCCCCTCCGCTTCGAACCCTGCCGGGCGGGCGGTGGCAGCCGCTGCCGCCGCGCGCGCCGCCTCTGCCGCGGCGGGCGGCGGCGGCGGCGAGAGCGGCAACACGTCGAGCGCGTCAAAGTCCGCGTGCTGCGGCGTCGGCCCTGCGCCGTCGCCGGAGGCCGATGGCTGCGGCAGCGGCGGTGGGAGCGGCGCGTAGCCGGCGAGGCACGAGAACGGGAGCTCGGGGTCGTCCCGCACCTCCTCGTACGCGCGGAAGCCGTGCTTGTACACGCCGAGCAGCAGCAGCGCGTCGTCGCGCGGGGTCCAGCCAGCTGACGGCCCAGGATGCCTGCCCGCCCCGACTCGGAAGTGATGTTTTTTTCTTCATTTTCTCTCTGGTGGGAGGATGGGAGGGTGAGGTGGGGGAGGATACAGTAGGAAGGAGTACCTTGAGCACGCCGGATCCCGGTGTACGCATCTGCGATCTCGTCCGCATGCCACAACCCACCTCTAAGACCGCGCGGCTACTCTGCACGACTGGTCGCGGCTGTCCTCCGCCGCCGCACGTCTAGTCACACCGACGTCGCGCTTCAGCCGGGCTACTCGTCGCTAGGCGGCGACCCCTTGCCGACGCCCTCGACAAGGAAGCCGATCTCGCGCAGCTTGTCGTGGTCGAGGAGGTTGCGCCCGTCGAAGATGTGCGCGGGCCTGCTCATCGTTTCGTACACCTTCTCGAAGTCGAGCTCGAGGTACATGTCCCACTCGGTGAGAAGGATCAGCGCGTGCGCGCCGTCGCACGCGGCATACGGGTCCGTCTCCACGTTGACGAGCTGGTCGAGGCCGCCTCCGCTGAAGTGGATGCCAATCGCCTCGGCGGCCACGCGCGGGTCGTGGATACTCAGCCGCGCGCGCTCCGCGAGCAAGTAGTTGCACACGTCGATGGCGACCGTGTGCCGCGTGTCGGAGGTGTTCTTCTTGTACGCGAAGCCTGCAGTGTGAGCACACCAGTACGAGCTCACTAGTGTAGAGCTCGCACTAGAGGCCGTCCTCGCATTCGCCTTCCTGGGACCCAACGCTGACTTCTGACTGCCGTCGCTGTCTCTCCCTTCTCGACTGCCTGTGCGTGTGCGTCGTGGGTCCGGGGCTGTGTTTTTGTGTGAGCACACCAAGCATTGGGGCGGGAGTGCGGTCTCGAGCAGGGTCTCCAGAGCACCGCGTGAGTACGAGGGGTGCGAAGACAGTGTGTCCTCTCGGTCGAATACGGCTACATACGTCCTCTCGAGTGCTGGTCGGGGAGCCACTCTTCAGCCTCTAGGAGGGGGCGCCGAGGACGGCCAGCTTCTTGTTTGAGATGGTGTTGAACATCTTGCCCACGATGTTGGCGGCGAAGCGCCGCTTCTGGTAGTCGTTCATCTTGAGCACGCTCTCCCAGTACGTGCCGACCTGCGGCAGCCGGTAGTACTTGCACAGGTAGACGAGGTTGCGCAAGTGCGTCTCGTAGCAAGCGCCGCCAAAGCCGACCGACGCCTGCAGGTACTTGCGGCCGATCCGCGTGTCGTATCTCCCCATATCTCCCCATATCTCCCCACACCTCCCCCTACCTCGCGCCTGCAGGTACTTGCGGCCGATCCGCGTGTCCACTCCGATGGCATGCGAGACCTCTGACACGTCTGCGCCCGTCCGCTCGCACAACGCCGAGATGGAGTTGATCGAGGAGATGCGCTGCGCCAGGAACGCGTCCGCCACCATCTTGCTCAGCTCCGCCGACCACAAGTCCGAGAGGAGGATGCGGCTCTTCGGCACCCACCGCTCGTAGATGGCGGCGAGCGCCCGCGCGGCCTCCTCCGCATGCTTGTCGCCCTCGGCCACGCCGATCATCACGCGCTCGGGCGACGCCTGGCAGAGCATCGCGTTCCCCTGCTGCGCAAACTCAGGGTTGGAGAGCACCACCCACTCCCCCGTCGAGAGACTCGACCGCTCGACAGTCGAGTTGGCGCGGATGACGGCGGTCATCGTGTCCGCCGTCGCGACCGGCACCGTCGACCGCTCCACGATGATCTTGGGCGTGCGCGACGCCGCCGCGATCTTGCGCGCGATAGCCTCCCAGTGCTGCAGGTCGGGCGCGTAGCCCGCGTTTGCGCCCGTCTCCTTGACCGGCGTCGAGACGGAGACGAGAACCATGTCCGCCTCCGCGATGGCGGCGGCTATGTCGGTGGAGAAGAAGAGGTTGACACCCCGCACCTCCTCCAGCGTCGGCTGCATGCCCGGCTCAAAGAAGGGAAGTCTCGCCGAGCCCCACGCCTTTATCTTCCGAGCATCATCGTCGACCACGGTGACGCGGATGTCCGGGCATTTTGAAGCCACCGTCACCGCGTGCGGTACGCCGACGTGCCCTGCGCCAATCACGCAGATCGACTTGACGGGGGCCATAAGTGTGCACACGCCCGTACACAGCACGGCAGGGCTTCCGAACACTTCAGCCTTCCAAAAAAAAGAATTTAAAAAAGAAAAACTCGGCCGTTACGGAAAAGCATGCGCGACGCTGCCTCTTTGCACCGCTAGCTCGCGGCTGCGGGAGACATGGCCGCCGATGCGGCTCACACTCGCTCGGCGGGCCTCCGTCCCACAGCCGCCCGGGCGTGCCACGGGTCTGCCTGGCGCTGCGCTGCTCGCACGCTGCACTGCACAAAGCTGCGACAACAAGGGGAGGCTCCTGAGCTTGAGCGTTGAGCAGTGCAGCTGCGGGCGCTCGTGGGCGGCTGTGCAGTGGTGAGAGTGCCTGATTGGAGGCGAGCTGGTGCTGCGCCAGGGTGCGCAGCATGCGCTCTTGCTCTGTGCTGAGGCATGCTGGCTGGCGCCCAACACAATGCCCTGGATGCATTGCTCCACGCCGTGCTGGCTGGTGCAGTGCTGCCAGTGCGCCGACTGGCGCGCAGGGCGCGCGTCGCCGCGCGTGGCACGGGTGGCTCGAGAGGCGCGGCTGTCGTTCAACCCCGCGGCGCATGTGCGCCGCGGAAGCTGCTCGACAGGCTGCGGGCATCGCTGCGGCAGAAAGCGCCCGCCCTCTGCTTTGCTTTCGCCCGCGTTTTACGACAACTTTCGGTTTATCATAGCCGCCGAACTTTACCTCGCTGTTTCTTTATAGGTGCCCCGCAGCTGCGTATTCTCGTATTATCGTCGAGTAGTTGCGCGGGGGCGGTACGTATTCTCGTATCACTAGCTAGTGTCGTGTCCACTAGCTCCGAGTAGAGGGGGCGTTCTGCTGCTAGGGGAAACCCGGAGCGCGGTACTATCCCTCGGAGAGTATTCTTTAGCTCCGAGTAGAGGGACGGCGTTCTGCAGTTAAGGGGAAACCCGGTACACGGAGCCAACCCTCGGAGACCCGTGTTATGGCCCTGCGACCGCGCACTAGCTCCGAGTAGAGGGGGCGTTCTGCTGCTAGGGAAAACCTGGAGCGCGGAGCTAACCCTCGGAGACCCGTGTTTACTTTAAGGCCCTTGCCCTGCGAACGCGCACCCCCGGGGCTAGGGCTCTCTAGCCCGTAACCCGATACCGATCATCCGGCCCGCTGGATGCGCTTCTCAGCTCACCGGCCCTGGATGTGAGGTTGCCGACTGCACTCCAAGTGCTCCAAGTGCTCCAAACAACTCTCTCTCCCTTGGGTTGTCCGTTTTCTTTCTTTCTAGCACACAGGCTCGACACAGGAAAAAAAGAATTCTAAAAATTATCTCACAGCACACTGGCGCGACAAGGGCGCGGACTGGCGCGGACTGGCACACTCACCGGCTCACCGCCGGAGCCGCCTAAGCGACTCCGTTAATTAAGAACGGCAATGCATTCCGCACCGTGCACAATGCCGCTCTCCCCGCACGCTAGCTCGTTCACCGTCTGCCACGCCACGGCGGTGAGAGAGAGAAGAAGTCCTCCTTATCAGCTGGTCGCTTCGCTTCCGCTCGCCTTGTCCGGCGCCGCCGCGCGGCCGGCCCCGGCTGCGCCCGGCATCATCACCACGGTCTCCGACGGCCTCATGGCGCCCGCTGACGCCGACGAGACTGAGCGCGTCGGATTCGTGCTGCAAAAACTTTCAATCTCGCCGACGCTTTATGAGGCACCAAATCGACCAGAGCCAGCAGAGCACTCCTCGCCTGGCTCAGTCGAGTCGGCGCCCGGTCGCGATCGCAAAGTCCCCAGTTCGAATCCAGTCGGGCCTGCTGCCGGCCTCGTTGGCTCGCCAGAGCTGCCGGGCTTGCCCAGCCTCGCTGGCGACTTTGGCGAGGCTGTGGTGGCTGCTGGGACCGACGACATTGCGGCTGTGACCTCCACGCTGCAGAACATCCGACTGGAGCTCGCACAGGGCGCCGCAGCAACCCGCGTTCAGCGGGCGATGCGCGCGTTCCTGCTGCGCAAGGGCACCATGATCATCATGCTCCTCATCACCAAGATACAGGCCGCTGCGCGCGGCCTCAACACTCGCACTTCACTGACCAAGTTCTTCAAGGCCTGCCCGCCCAGCGGGCGCACCGCCGACCTCTTCCTCAGCCGCGTCTACGGAGGCCACGAGGGCGGGCGGCGGCGCGGCGGCGGCTACGTCGTCGACTTCATCTACTGTCTGCGATCTACTCGTCTTCCTCTCCCCTTCTCGGAAGCGTTGGCTCGATTCCCTCTCGAAATGTACATCCCTCATGACACAGTGCGCGGCTGCGACGGAACCATCGGGTTCTGCAACCAACACGAGGTCACCGGAGAGCAGCTGTGCCTGCCTCCGCCCTCGTCCCCCTCCTCCTCCCGTGAGTCGCCCTGCCCCAGTCATCCCGAGCACGACCTCGGGCGAGCCAGCCAGCCCCACTCTGCGGGCGCCAAGAAGAAGAAGAAGAAGACGTCGCGCACGCGGCAGGAGAAGAAACAAGGCAAGCGCGAGGCGGCGGCTCGAGAGGCTGCCGCTGCCGCGGCTGCCCACGCGGCTGCTCAGGCGGCCGCTCAGGCCGCTCAGGCGGCCGCTCTCGGACGGTACAGGTCCGTCAATGCTTGGTTCTTTCCTCGCGGCGACTGGTATACCTTGTACTGGGACGGCAGCACGGCCGACAAGGTCGCAAGGCGCGCCACCTACCCGACGCTCGAGCACGACAACTACGACCCCGGCCCCCTCGCAGAGCGCATCAGGCGCGACAAGCGCGAGTTCTCCATTTTCGGCGCAGAGCGCATCAGGCGCGACCGCTCCTCCGACGACTCCTCCTCCGACCAAGACTCATGCGGCACCGGCTCTACTAGCGAGGCGAATGACATATTCGACACCCTCGACGACCATCTCGGCTACGGTTCCGACTCCGGCTCCGGCTGGTAGTCGACAAGCTGCCGAGCCCAAATCACTGTGTGTGACACATTTCTTGTTGGCTTCTAAAAATCTCTCTCTCTCTCTCGGCGGTGTGGAGGACGACAGACAAGCGCTGCATCTGCAGCCCGTGCCAGTTCTTGGTGGTCCATGTGACCTTCAGCCTTCCAAAAAAAGAATTCGGAGTGAACAGCCTCCTCCCTTCGAAGAGAGTGTGGATCTGAGCAACGATATGATGGCAAATGATCGCAGCGGGCGCCAGAGAAGAGTCGTCCTTGCGCGAGGAGAGCTCGATAAACTCGAGGGGCCAAAATATGCCGCGAAGGCAATCACGAATGAGCTCACTCAGCTCAGTGAGTGAGATCTAGCAGGCTGCAGCACATACTGTACCCTTGGTACCCAGAATAGTTCAGTCTGAAAAGGTATACAACCTCGCGGAGCCGTCTAGCCCTAGAGATTGTTTTGTTTTTTTTAAGACACATGTCGGGCCATTTAAGAGGGCCGCCCGTCGCGTGCGCCACTGTGCCTTCGCACAGCGGGTTTGTGGCCGCTGCCGCCGCCTCCGGGGCGACCGCCGCCATCGCCCTGCTCATTGTCTTCATTCTCTTCCTGTGCAAGCGGCGGCGGACAGCAGCGCGGCCGGCTGGCGGCTCTGGACGGCGCCCGCTGTACCGCCGCGCCTCGGCCTCCACCAAGCTGCTCGAGCTCATTCACCAGACGGCGGGACGGGACGAGAGCTTCCCTGCCAAGCGGCTGCGAAGGGAGTGGGGCGGCGGCTTGCACAAACGCTGCCTCCCCCGCACACGCACGCTCGCACGCCATCGCCGCAGCCGTGGCGGTGGCGCGGCTCGTGCGGCGGCGGCCTGCCCTACGGGACACTTTTAGCGCCGAACCGAGCCGGGGGCCGCAGCAAATATTCACTCTGACACGCTATAATAGTATTAAATTTTCGCTAATCTTGAAAACGCCATCGCCAATGGAGCTCGGCCGTGTTGGCTGAAAAGAAAATCGACCCGCGGCTTCGAGGATGTTTGTCATCAAGCCTTGATGAAGCCCCTCAACCTCCAAAATCTCCCGCGATGTTTTTGCGTCGCGCTTCGAGTCGAGTGTGACGTTTGCGATGAGGCGCGCTTTGAACGTGGCATTCGGGTGATCTCTGGTCTCTCCGCATGGCGACCCGACCGCGTCGAACTCATCGACGCGGGCTCTCCTCGGCTACGGGACCATCCCCGGCTTCGGCTGAGGGCTGCAACCTGCCGAGCCCAAATCACTGAGAGAGTCCCCCTCTCCTCACGTTGGAAGGATAACAGGTTAACACCTCGTTCATAGCAAGCTATGTCCAAAGGGGCCGTGCGGGGGCAGAGATGGCGCCGCTCGCATGCCGCCAGAAAGAATAGAAAAGCAGGACCCGCGAAGTATACCGACATGTCACATGTGCATGTGCATGTGCATGTGCATGCACTGGCGCGCTCTGGCACAGACACAGGTGCACACACACAGCGAAAGCTGTAGGACTAGGTCGCGACGGCCGCGGCGGGGCCGGCCTCCCCGTCGGCGGGCGGCAGGCACGCTTCTCGAGGACGACGTGGCATCCGCGGCTCGTGCCGTTGACGAGCTGCGTCACGTGCACGAGTCAGAGCAGCATGTACGCGTCGCGACGGTCGACGGCCGGGCGCAGCTCACCCAGCCAGTCGAGCATCGCCTCGAGCGCCGCGCTCGCGGCGTCGTCGACGCGCATCGCGCACGCGAGCGTGATCAGCGCGCCGTCGGTCTCGGCGCGCGGCCTGGCGAGCGGCGCGCGCACTCCGGCGCGCGGGCCGCCCACCGGCACAGCGACGGCGGCAACGACGGCTTGACGACCGAAAGGCGGAAGGCGCCGGCCAGGCACGTCTCGAGGGCGGTGCCGCAGCACTCGCCGTCGCCCTGCCGCGCGTGGCCGTCGCCCACGACGAACATCGCGCCCGCGACGTGCACCGGCAGGTAGAGCGTGCTGCCCGCGACGAGCTCCTTGCAGTCGAGGTTGCCGCCAAACTCGTTCCGCGGCGGGATCGACGACTGCCTAAACATGTCTCCCCCCGTCTCTTTCAAGCCGTGACGAGCAGCGGCGCGCGATCGACAACTGCCGGCCAAAGCCCACCGGCGGCGCCGTCGCCATCACGCCAAAGAAGGGCCGCAAGTCGAGCTCACCGCCCCACGGCGGCCGCGCGACGCCCGCCCTGGCATCGAGCCTCGTGTGCCGCAAGTGCGGCGGCACGCGCCACTCGAGCGCGCCTAGTAGCGGTAGGCAGCCTTGCTTCCAAGATTTGGACCCCCTCCCAACGCCCAAGCGACAACTCGAGCGCGCCTCCGTACGGCCGCGATATTGTCCACGCCCAGTACCAGGTAGTCGGCGAGAAGCGCAAGCTCGAGCAACCACATGCCGCTGTGTGAGTCTGCATTGGTGTGAACAGCGACATCGTGCGTCCTACCTGCCATCGTGCAGTCGCCACGGCGCCCGCCACCGCGAACCAAGCTTAGCCAGCGGACGCAACCAGCCTCGCATATCGCGATGTCACGTCGCAGCGGTGAGCGGGGAGGTGGTGGCGATGGCCGACGTGGAGCCAGTGGCCCTCGCCGCCTTCGGAGCTCTAGCAGCTCTGGAGGTGGCAGCTCTGATGGCTCCAGCGGTGCTCGCAGCTTCGACGGCGACGACGGCAGTGGCGATGGTGGCGTCGGCGGCGGCGGTGGCAGCGGCGGCGGCGGTGGCAGCGGCGGCGGCGGTGGCGTCGGCGGCGGCGGTGGCAGCGGCGGCGGCGGTGGCAGCGGCGGCGGTGATGAGAGGACAGCAACACTGACCAACTGATCCGCCGCTCGCAGCGCCTCCAAGCCAGCCCAGTGAGGCTGTTGAGTCTGCTGCTCCTTCCCTGCCGGCTGAGTCAGCTGCTACTCGGCTGCAGAGGCTGGCGCGGCGTCGGATCGCTGAGTCGCAGCGGGCGGCGGAAGAGCGGCTGGCTGCAGCAGCCGAGGCGGCGGCTCAATCGCAGGCTGAGGGCGAGTGGATGCCACCCCAGTCGGACGGGGCCGCAGACAGCTGGTGGTTGGAGGAGGCGGAGGGGCGGCCGCTGGAGGATGGCGGCACCGCATCCGACGCGTGGTGTTCGTGGGGGCCCCGCGGCGACAGCCGGGCAGGCCTCTCGCGACGGCCGATGGCGACTGGCCGGCGCTGTCGGCGGGCGAGTTTGCGGCGCACGCGCTGCGCGTAGGCGGCGCGTGGGCGGGTGGCCCGCCCGGCCGTCGGTGAGCACCGGACGCGAGGGTCGCTGGGTCGGTCGGTCGGCTCCTAACTAACTCGCTGCATATTTATAGTAGCGATGAGCTCACTAGCTAGAGCTCACACTAGAGGCCGTCATCGCATTCGCCCTGGCGCCTGGGACCCAGCGCTGACTTCTGACTGTCGTTGCGGTCTATCCCTTTCTCGACTGTCTGAGCTTGTGGCTGCGTCTTGCGTTGGGTCCGTGGTTGTGTTTTTGTGTGAGTGACTCACGGTGGCTACGAGGGCGAGCTGTCTCCCCATACCTCCCCACACCTCCCCACATCTCCCCATATCTCCCCACATCTTGCGAGGAGAGAGCTCTGTCTCGTGTGGAATCCACGCGGGTTGCTCTGTGTGTGTGTGGGGGGGGGGGGGGGGGGGCTCAGGCTACCTCGAGCACGTCGACGCGCAGCACGTCGCCCGGCGCTGCGCCGCGCACAAAGACCGGGCCGGTCAGGACGTGGACGCCGATGCGGTCCGGTGGTCCTGAGATCCCACACGCAAGGCGGTGACGAGGGCTAGGCTGGCCCTCGCGACATCCACCACACGCAGCAGATCTCCAAGGCGGCGGTGGCGGGCGACGCCGAAAACACCAACAAGCAGGCGCGCAAGGAGCGTACCAACTGGATCAACAAGCAAAAGAAGCAGCAAGCGGCAAACGGCCTCTTGTCCTCGGCCCCAGTGGGGGGTGCCCGCGCCGCCTAGCTCTGCGGACGGGCCCCTCCACCCTTCATGTAATCATGTAGTCCCCACATTCGCAGTCGTGGGATCGCTTGTCATGTGAGAGAGTGCGTTGTGTTCTGGTCTTTCTCTCTTTCTGAACGCTCTCGCTCGCTCTCGCCTGCTGCTCGCGCGTCGGTCGTTCCCGTCTCTATAACCGCCAGGGGCTGGATTCGGGACAAGCAAGGGCTGGGTGGGGCTCCGTCCCAACGGGCAGCCACTCCCTCCTGCGCTGGGCGCATGCGCCTCACGTCTCGCCAGAGCATACGCCCTTGGTGTGCGACGAGACGAGTTTTTAGCCATCGCAGCGAGCAGCAAGCCGCCCGCCGCAAACAGCCGGAGGCATCGCCGCAGCACTGTCTGCGCCGCGGTCCCGCACCCGTCGACGAAGCTCCCCCCGCGGAAGACCGCGCGTAGCGACGCCTTGACGTTCGAGATGGGCGCGCCTGAAGCTCGCCCACCTACTGCCCCTGAGAGTTGGTTACGAGTGGGATCAGCTCCCCCCTTGGGATCGAAGCCGCCACAACCTCACACCCAACAAGATCACAGGCGGGATCAGAAGGAGCCTCCGCACCGGACACCGCCCGGGCACAGACCCCCTACCCGTCGGATCGCACAGGGCCCCCTCGGAGCAGCCCACACACAATCACGCATCGGCAGATGAGCGCCTGAGTCAGGCAGACAGCAGACAAGGAGGAGAGAGAGAGGAGAGAGAGAGAGAGAGAGGAGAGAGGAGAGGGTGAGGGTGTGAGCACACGTGTGGAGCAGGGAGGGTGTCTGTGGTGGGCTATAGTCATACTACGTGGTTATAACCACGCGCCCCTCAGGAGCTAAGATACAGTGGAGCGTCCCATACGCCTCGGTGCCACCCACCGGGTGTGACCATCCGGATCAATCTGCCGCGCCCTCCGTACGCAGCAGTCCCCGCGATGGCCCACGGTCCTCTGTCACCAGGTTGAACCCCCTCCCCCCCCCAGTCCTCGTACTCGACCATCAATAAACTCAAAGTCCACCACAGCCACCAGCCTCCACCTCCACCATCGAGCCGCCACCGCTGCCGCCCGCGACGCCGCCCGCCGCGTCAGATGCCCGCCACGCGCGCGTCGAGCCGAGTCGCAGAGCCGCGCCACACCAGCAGCAGCATCTGCACCAGCAGCAGCACCACCACCACCACCAGCAGCACCAGAGAGAGGCAGTGCAGGATAACAGGAGCGCAGAAGCGCTCGCACATCGGCGCGCCGCGCCGCGCACGCCACGCCGCGGGCGGTCGGACGAGCGCAGCGTACGTCGGCGGCGAGCCACGTCGCCAGCCGTCTCGCGAGAGAGCGGCGCCGCCGCGTGCGCGCAGCAGCCGCCGCGGCAGAGACGAGCCGCGGCGACGGCCGCACAACTGATGACAGCCATTACACACACACCCACACACACACACATATGTATGTAGAAAGATGAACAACAGTCAGGCTCGGACTGGACACCAACGCGGTATGGGTGGACGGGGACAGATGATGACGACACAGAAAGAAAGAAAGAAAACAGACACTCCAAGGGAGGGATGGGAGAACGGCACGCCGCCACCACAGAGGGATAAAGAAAGAAAGAAAACACACAGCCCAAGGGAGGGATGGGAGAACGGCACGCCGCCACCACACAGGGATTTTAAGGAGAGGAGTGTGGTGCGCTAGCCGTCGCCCACCCTGGGGAGTCTGCCTCTTCGTATCTCCACAGAGGGATTTTAAGGAGACACATTTCCATGTTTTTCTTCTTCGCCTGGCACGTTGCCGCCCGGCCATGCACGGCCTGAGAGCTCGACGCGGCCCTGCTGCGGAGGCGGCTCTGCGGTGGCGAAGGTGGCGGCGGCGGAATCAATCGCCATGAACGCCATCAGCCCGACCGTGCTCGCCGAGCTGCGCCGGGGCGACTTGACCTCGCTGCGTGCCCTCCTCGCCGGGCGGACGCGCGGCCCGGCGCTCACGGCCCTGCTCGACGCGCGGCTCGAGGCCAAGAACCAGTTCACGCTGCTTATTATCGCCGCTGAGCGCGGGCAGGCCGACGCCGTGCGGCTGCTGCTCGAGAGCGGCGCGAGCGTGGGGGCGACGACGGGCCGTGGCTGCTCCGCGCTCTTCGCCGCGTGCCAGCAGGGCCACCTCGAGTGCGTGCGGCTGCTCCTCGCTGCCAGCGCGGCGGTGAACCAAGCCACCGTCAGCGGCGCCACGCCGCTGTTCATGGCGTGCCAGGAGGGCCAGCTCGAGTGCGCCCAGCTGCTTCTCGAGGCGCGTGCGGCGGTCGACCAAGCCCGTGACAATGGCGACACGCCGCTGTTCATCGCGAGCCAGAACGGCCACGCCGAGGTCGCCAAGCTGCTCCTCGAGGCCAGCGCGGCGGCCAACCAAGCCAAGGACGACGGCGCCACGCCGCTGTACGTCGCGTGCCAGAATGGCCAGCTCGAGTGCGTGCGGCTGCTTCTCGAGGCTGGCGCGGCGGTCAACCAAGCCAAGGACGGCGGCGTCACGCCGCTGCTCAAGGCGTGCCAGAAGGGCTGCCCCGAGTGCGTCCAGCTGCTTCTCGGGGCCAGCGCGGCGGTGAACCAAGCCACCGTCAGCGGCGCCACGCCGCTGTTCATGGCGTGCCATGAGGGCCACCTCGAGTGCGCCCAGCTGCTTCTCGAGGCGCGTGCGGCGGTCGACCAAGCCCGTGACGATGGCGACACGCCGCTGCTCATCGCGTGCCAGCGGGGCCACCTCGAGTGCGTCCGGCTGCTCCTCGAGGCCAGCGCGGCGGTCGGCCTAGCCATGGATGGCGGCTTCTCGCCGCTGTTCGCTGCGTGCCAGCAGGGCCTGCTCGAGATCGCCCAGCTGCTCCTCGAGGCCAGCGCGGCGGTCAACCAAGCCGCGGACGACGGCGCCACGCCGCTGTACGTCGCGTGCCAGAATGGCCAGCTCGAGTGCGTGCGGCTGCTTCTCGAGGCTGGCGCGGCGGTCAACCAAGCCAAGGACGGCGGCGTCACGCCGCTGCTCATCGCGTGCTACCAGGGCCACCCCGCCGTCGTGCTCTGCCTGCTGCGGGCGGGCGCAGACACAGCGGCGTGCACCTCGGCCGGGCGTACAGCGCTGCAGCTGGCCAAGGAGAGGGGCCACGCCGAGTGCGAGCGCGCACTTGAGGCGGCGGCGAGGGAGGCGAAGAGGGCGGAGGTTGAGGCGAAGGTGGCGAGGGCAGTGGCCGAGAGGGCGGCGGCCGAGAGGGTGGAGGCCGAGAGGGCGGCCGAGGAGGCTGCGGCGGCGAGGGAGGCGCTTGCCTCAAAGCAGCAGGCGGCAAAGGCGGCAAAGGCGGCTCGGCGCAAGAAGATCGCGGCAGCAAAGGCGGACGCTGTCGCCGCGTCCGGAGAAGACACGTGGGACGCGCTCATCGCGGTGCTCACCTCCGAGACGCGAGACGCTTCGCGCCTGAGGCGGGCGGTGGAGGCCGCCACGCCGCACGCGTCTGCCTTGCCGGAGGGTACGGAGGGGCTGCTGATTGGCGCGCGCGAGCGGCTTCCTTCGATGGAGCGGGTCGAGGCGTCCGTCGCTCAGCGCGAGACGGAGGCGGAGGAGGAGGCCGTGGCGGCGGCCGATACAGCGCAGCTGGTGCGTGGCGGCATGCTGCTCGACAACTCTGGGTTCTCATGGAACGGCGACGCCGACGGCCAGTGCCCCATTTGCCACGAGAAGTGGTCGAGCCTGTCGGACGCGAGCGTGGCGGTGCTCGAGTGCGGCCACGCTACGTGCGCAGCCTGCCTCTGCCACATGCGCGAGTCCGTCCCGGCGACCGAGGAGCGGCAGGACCCGCTCGTGCCCCACGGGCAGAGCGTGACCACACGCTTCCAGTGC